TCAATAAAAGTTGCCCAATTTGAATCCATATCATTGTTGTCTGTCTCGTTATTTCTGGGGTCAAGGGGCAAAAGAGTTTCATGGAATTGATAATTTGTAGTATCTTATTTCAGAGAGTAAGCTAATGAAATCAAACAGCCAAATGCTCTTTAAACTTCCTGAGAAATTTCTTGGGAGTTGGATAAGGCCTGAACCTTTCTCTGTCCTGGGCTGTGTGATTATTTCTGTGTATCAGTGTATCACTCTAGTGGCAATGAACATGGCTTCTAGAGATTGCTTTAGGTTTCCTGTGACAAATGAACTAGTAAAATGGAGAGATAGAAACCAGATAGAAGCAAGCATTGCAAAGTGTTAGGGGAAATGTTAAAATGGAACCAAATGGATTTTCCCCTCATGTGCTTCTGATTATTAGGCTCTGTCCCTTCTCTCGCTGATTGGATATCTGCTTCCATCCCAGTAAGTTTCCCTCTCTTGATTATGGTCACTGTGTTCTTTTTGCAACTAATCCTTTGCCTTGGGGCAGAGGGAGAAATGACTGCTATATTCAGAGGTCTGCTCCCAGCTTCAGCCAGGAAGATTCGCCTCTCCTCATAAAGGTTATGTAATTGGATTTGTGAGTGGCTAATTCCATGACTTCTCTCTCAATCACAGAAAGTGTTATTTTGCAAAATGTAGCTGACAGAACAAGGAAAAAGCCATACGGCCACTAAATTCAATTAAAATCCTATGCTCACTTTTCGTTATAACAACTCTAAGATGACGTATGGCAGCTCTAAGATGAACTAGGATTTTTAAAACAAGATTTGTTCAGAAAGGGCCACCTTTGCATGCCTCTAAGGCTGAGAGAGTATGGGCGCTTCTACATAGCCACATAAAGCTGGTCAAACTAGAACATGTGTCTGCTAAAAGCTGCCTCACTGATGGGGGGACCAGCAATACAGCCCAGTAATATTGATGCCAGTTCAGTATGGTTGGGCATGTGCAGTAGCTCCCAACCCACCCCCATCCCCGATTCCCCACAAAAAAGGCAAAGAATCAACCTTACCATTGCAGGAGGCTGTCCTCTGCCTGGATTGCCCTCACTGATAACATGGCGGAGCTTTGGAGCAGGAAATCCCCTATTTTCGGAAAAAAAATGAGTGATTTGATTTGTGTAGTAGGGGAATGATTGCATCGGGTGAAATAGGAAAAGAGCAATGAAAGAGAACCAAAAAGTGAATCTTGGAATGAAAAACTATGGCAGTGATTTCTTTGCTTTGCAACAGACTAAAGCCTTCAAGCAGCCATGAACTTTTCAGAATATCAGGATATTGAGGCATTTTAAAGGCTGACATCTTACTTGCCCCATGGACCTGTATGGAGGGGAAACATTTGGAGATCTTTAGGGAAGTGAGGTTTCCCTATGATTAACTAACTTCTTCACCCCCATTGATTAGTTTCTAGGCTGGTTTTTATTACATATTATTATACAATATACAGCTGACCCTCTTTATGCACAATTCTGTGTCCATGGATTGAACCATTTATAGCTTGAAAACATTTAAAAATCAAAAATTAAACTCTGATTTTGCCATCTTTATATAAGGGACACCATTTTATGATGCCATTGTATATAATAGGACTTGAGCATTCATGGATGGGGGGTCCTGGAACTAAACCACAGCAGATATGAAGGGCCCAGTGCACAATGTTTTGTAATTCTATTTGGGCTAAGTTATAGTGAATCTTTTTTGTAATTATTGCTCAACATCAAGGAAGGGGCTTTCTCAAACCCAGCCCATTATTCTTTTTCTCCTAGGCCACTTTCACACTGCCCTATATCCCAGAATTTGATCTCTGATTATTTGATTATCCCAGATTATCTGGCAGGAACTGTGGTGGCACAATGGGTTCAACCCTTGTGCTAGCTGAAGTGAAGGTTAGTAGTTCAAATCCCTAAGATGGAGCGGGCTCCCTTCTGACAGCTCCAGCTTTCCATGTGGGGACATGAGAGAAGCCTCCCATAGGATAGTGGCACATCCAGGTGTCCCCTGGGCAACTTCTCTGCAGATGGCCAATTCTTTCACAATAGAAGTCACTTGCAGTTTCTCAAGTCACTTCTGACACAATAAAAATGTGGTAGTGTAGACTCATTTAATTCAGTTGAAAGCAAATAATAAGACAAGATTCTGGGATATAAGGACACTGTAGAAGGGGGCCTAGTTTCTCCCTGTATTTCTTTCCTCTTGCTTTGCATTCTGACTTTTAAATACTGGCACCATCCTCCTCCTACCTCTTTTTAATCAGCTTTTTTATTATGCAATTAAGTTAATATTGGTAGAGAAAGGAGTAGGTTCTATTTAATTACCTGATTATTTAAAGTGAAGATCTCACAGATTTAATTTGGGATCTCAGCTCTTATATGCAAAATATGTGCTCCTCCATTGACCTTTTCCAATCACACTTCTTGATTGGGAGTGGGAAAGCAAAAATAATGCAGTGATACTATTAAGCAAAAAAAAATATTCTGTATATGCAAAGAGAATTTAAAGTATTTCAGATTAAAAATATTCATTTTTTATTCACTTATTGATCTTTGCAGCTCTCCATATATTGCTGTAGTCATGAAGAATCAATGACTTCTAAGAGCAATAAATCACTACTCATTAACCTGTAACAAATAAGGCATTTGAAGAATTAGTGAATTGTAGGTTTTGGTGGTTGTGAGGGAGATACAAAGGGTGACAAACTGAATTGAAAAGATTCCCAACAGGACAACTGTATGATTTGGACTTTTAATCGGTCCCTGGCAGCAAGTATTTTGTGATCTTTGTTGCCAATGTGGTAAAAGGAGAAAAATAACCCAATAACAAAATGTAAATCTAAAATTCCCATGCTTTGACTTCACATCTTAATCAGTTAATTAGTGATACTTATACAAATCACTCTATTTTTTGGTATATAAGACTACTTTTTAACCCAGCAAAATCTTCTCCTTTTACATTCTCAGGGCAAAGAACAGTGTTCAAAATGATCTTAAAAGCACTGAAAATAAATTCAGAAGCAATCTTGAAAATTAGGTTCTTGTGGGTTTTTTCGGGCTATAGAGCCATGTTCTAGAGGCATGGCTCTATACATGGCTCTATAGCCCGAAAAAACCCCACAAGGACCTAGTGATTCCAGCCATGAAAGCCTTCGACAATCTTGAAATTTTTAAGAACACTTCTCAGTAACACGTCAACCATTATACTTTTATCATCAGATTTTAAAGAACAAGGCTTGAGGGATGGGCTTGGCTGTTTTAAGGTGAGATTTTGAGTTGGCATCTTTATACACGCAAAAGAACGGGAGGGCAGTCTCTCCAGAGAACAGGACATCTGAAAGTAAGCAGATCTGGTCTCCCGTATCAGCATTGTAAAAGGCCACCCAGTTTGCAGCACAGTTCAGGCAGACTCAGATCCTCTTGGTCTTTTCACTCAGCAGGAAATCAGAGCTAGAAGGGAGACTGGGAGCATAATAGCTACCTTTCCACTTGCCCACGGCCCAGATCCCTTCCTCAGGACCAATGTTAACAGGGCCTTTTCTCCTGACAGACTCCCTGGTCACCCCCACAAACCAGTCTCCCTCCCCTTCCAAAGCAACTTCCCAGAAATTCCTTCCCCTTGTGAACCTCTCCTGTCCCAACACTTAAACTGGGTTGCTGAATCTCACAGGATTATCAAGAAGGTCTTGATACATGGCTTCGCATCTCACTCTTTTGCAATCCTCAGACAGGAAAAGCCAGCAACCCGCTGTGTCTGGATCCAGAGTGATTTGCTTTCTGAATCTCTAGTCCAGGTAACAAGGCATCTTGGAACTGCATGATGACAGTAAGTAGGAAAGAGTGTAGATCACAAAACTCCCAGGTCTTCCATTTCAGCTCTGGAGAGAAAGCCACTGGCTTCTCAAATGTTTTCTTCTTCTCAGACCACTGCAAAACACTCTTCACATCCTGCAGGAATTCAGCTGGTGGCCGCTGGTGTTTCTCCTGGATAAGATTTTTCAAAGAGAAGAGTTTCTGGTCAACTATGGCCAAGTTTTCATCTCTTTTCCTTGAAACCTGATTCTCCAGCTCTTCCATCTCGGCCTGCAGATATTTCTCCCATTTTTCTAGATACTGGTGAATTTCTGTGATTTCTCCTAAGCCTTTTCCCGCTTCTTCTATCTGTTTAAGTAGATATTGGCTTTCCTCTTCTGTCTCTGCTTTATAAGCCAGAATATTGTCTTCCTCCTTCTGCAGAAGATCCTGACGAATACTCACCAAACCATAGTTTTTGTATGCATTCATTCTACGCAGA